AACCATCTGCAGTGAAGCAGGAGGCTGAGGCTGAGCATGCAGAGACAACTGAGGAGGCAAAACCTTCTGCAGCCCAGCAGGAGGCTGCGGCTGAGCATGAACAGACTTCCGAGGAGGCCGAACTTTCTGCAGACTAACAGGAGGCTGAGTCTGAGCCTGAAAAGATCACCGAGGAGGGAGAACCTTCTGCAGCCCAGCAGGAGGATGAGGCAGAGCATGCAGAGACCACCGAGGAGGCAGAACCATCTGCGGCTCAACAGGAGGCTTAGGCTGAGCATGAACAGATCATCGAGGAGGTAGAACCTTCTGAAGTGCAGCAGGAGGCTGAGGCTGAGCATTAACAGACCACAGAGGAGGCAGAACCTTCACCAGTGCAGCAGGAGACCCCAGATCTGCCTCCAGAGCCCCCTCTGGGTACTGAATCTCTTCCAGTCCAGGAGAGCACCCAACCCAGCCTCTAGCGTCCTCTATGTACTACTCAATTCATCTTCCATTAGATGATGAGAATACATTTTCACCACTAGATCCCTCTAACATAGTCAGAAGTCATGATTCAACACTGCCTAGTAAAACAGTTACACATGTGCATGTGGAGCACACCATGACTACTCCAGAGCCTAGTGCAGAGGTTGCACCTTCTCCACTCCATCAGGAGGGCCCTGCTAAGCCTTCAGGTCCCACTGAGCAGGTTGAATTTTATCTAATCCAATCCCATCCTTATTCCCAACCTCCAGATTTCCTTGAAAATATTGAATTTGATGTAGCCCAGCAAGAGGCCACAGCTCAGAGTCGAGATCCTCTTAAGGAGGTAGGCCTTTCTCCAGTGCAACAGGAGGCCCCTGCTGGGCCACCAGAGCCCTCTAAGGAGGTTGAACCATCCCACCAGGAGAATCCAGGTCTGCAACTAGAACCTCCTAAAGAGGCCGAACCTTCTCCAGTCCCCCAGGAGGCTGCAGCTCCACCTTCAGTGCCACCTAAGGAGGTAGAACCTTCTCCAGCTCAGTAGGAGGCCCCATCTCAACCTGCAGAACTCCCTGAAAAGATAGAACCATCTACAGTCTATCACGAGGCCATTCCTCATCCTCCAGGTACCCCAGGGGAGGCACAACCTTCTCCAGTTCTGGAGGAGGTCCCTGCTCAGGCTGCAGAGCCCTCTGTGGTGGTGGAATCCTCACCAACACAGCAGTTGGCCCCAGCTCAGCCTCCAGAGCCATCTAAGGAAGTTGTAGGTCAACCTCCAATGAATTACGAGATGACGGTTCCAACACCAAGTCAGGATCAAGCTCCGAATCCAACACCCAGTAGCACAGTTCAACCTTTGGACGTGGAGGTTACCATAACTCCAGAACCCAGTGTGGAGGCTGAACATTCTACCGCCCAAAAGAAGACTACAGCGCCTTCTGCAAAGTCCCCCAAAATAACATATCCACGTCCAGACTAGGTGCAGACTCAGCATCCGAACCCGACTCCAGTCACAGCTCAACCTTTCGATCTGGCAATTACCATAACTGCAGTACCCACTATGGAGGCTGAATATTCTACAGCCCTGGAGAAGAGTACAGCTCCACATCCACCCCAGGCCCAGACTCAGCATCCAAAGTTGACGCAAGTCACAGTTAAACCTTTGGACCTGGAACTTACCATAACTACAGAACATACTACAGAGCTGAAAGCTTCTCCTACCAGGCAGGAGACCACAACTCAGCCTCCAGAAACATCTAAGGAGGTTGTAGCTCAACCTCCAGTGTACCAGGAGGTGAAAGTTTCAAAACCAGGTCAGGATCAAGTTCAGCCACCAAGGTCACCCAATGTTGCAGTTTGGCCTTCAGACCTGGAGCTGACTGTAACTTCAGTATCTACTACAGAGTCTGACCATTCCACAGCCCTGGAGAAGAGTACAGCTCCACATCCACCCCAGGCCCAGACTCAGCATCCAATGCGGAGCCAGAGCATCGTCTGTGAAGCACCTGGGCTCCGCGGAGACCACTGTGCTGGTTCCTCTTCGCTGCCACTTCAGCCGCTGCCGCTGCCACCGGAGGATCGGCCGTCTATTGTCTTTCCCCGTGGAGAAAGTGCAGAGCTGCTCCAGCTTGGCCCGTGGGGGAGCCCCGGCAGCTGCAGGGAAGTTCCATGGTGGTCTGTGAAACCCTGCCATAATGAATAAACATCAATGAAAAGACACCAGAAACAAGAAAAATCAAGAAAGTACACCACCCAGAGATAATAAGTCTCAAGCTCTAGACCCTATAGGACAAGAAGCCCTTGAAATGACTGACAAGGAATTTTGAGTGATAATTCTAAGGAAACTGAAGGAGATAAAAGAACACAGCTAGACATCATGAAGAAAGGAGGAAAAGTATACAGGACCCGAAAGAGGAAGTGTACAAGGAAATCAATGCCCTGAAAAAAAATGTAGCAGAACTTGCCGAACTGAAGAAGTTATTCAGTGAAATAAAAAACACAATGGAGAGTTTAACTAGCAGGCTTGTCGAAGTTGAAGAAAGAACCTCTGAACTTGAAGATGGGCTGTTTGAAATAATACAAGCAGACAAAAAAAAGACAAAAGAATCAAAGGCATTGAAGAAAATCTGAGAGAGATATCAGACAAGCATAAGCTCTCAAATATCCAAGTCATGGGTATCCCAGAAGGGGAGGAAAAAGGAGATTGCATTGAAAACATATTCAATAAAAAAGTGGCAGAAAATTTCCCAGATATAGGAAAAATCACAGATCTTTAGATCCAGGAAGCTCAACGATCTCCAAACGTATTCAACCCAAACAGGTCCTCTCCAAGACATGTTATAGTCAAATTGGCAAAATTCAAAGACAAAGAGAGAATCTTACCCTGTCAGCCACATCTCCCACTAGCCCAT